GATGTCTAGGCTCTTTTTTTGATCATGGCTTTCAGGTAGTCCAACAATTTTTAAATTCTCTCTCCTGGATCTGTTTTCCAGGTCAGTTGTTTTTCCAATGAGATATTTCACATTGTTTTCTAATTTTTCATTCTTTTGGATTTGTTTTACAGTGTCTTGATTTCTCATAAAGTCACTGTCTTCCAATTGCTCTATCCTAATTTTTAAGGAAGTATTTTCTTCAGTAATCTTTTGGACTTCCTTTTCCATTTGGCCAATTTTTCTTTTTAGGGCATTTTTCTCCTCATTGGCTTTTTGGACCTCTTTTGCCATTTGGGTTAGGCTATTTTTTAAGGTGTTATTTTCTTCAGTATTTTTTGGGTCTCCTTTAGCAAGCTGTTGACTTGTTTTTCATGATTTTCTTGCATCACTCTCATTTCTCTTCCAGTTTTTCCTCTACTTCCTTAACTTGCTTCTCAAAATCCCTTTTTGAGCTCTTCCAAGGCCTGGGACTGATTCGTATTTTTCTTGGAGGCTTTGGATGTAGGAGCTTTGATTTTGTTGTGTTCTTCTGGTTGTATATTTTGATCTTCTTTTTCACCAAAGTAAGATAATATAGTCTGACTCTTTTTGCTCTGCTTGCTCATGATCCCAGCCAATTACTTGAGTTTTAAACTCTTTGTTAAGGTAAGAGTCTGCTTCCAATGTGGAGAGTGTACTGTCCCAAGCTTCAGGGGTTTGTACAGCTGTTTTCAGAGATACTTGTAGGGACCTGTAAATTTTCAGTTCTTCCAAGGTGGTATGATAAGGGGCGAGGTGTTTACTCCTTTCCTGGCCTGTGACCACAAGTATTCCTTTCTGTCCTGTAACTGTGAGGAGGGGTTCCTCTCACAGCCACTACAAGCTCCACCACACCAGCGCTCCTCCTCACCCCAGCACTGCCGCCCAGAACTGTGACCCAGATCTACATCTGGGCAAAGCAAGAGATTCCTGCCCCAGCACTGGCAAAGAGATCCCTGCAGTCCCTCTCTGATCAGCCACTGGATTCCCCCTCAGTCTGTGGGCTGGAAGCTTGGGAAGCAGCTCCCCCCCCCAGGGCCACGCTTTTGGGGAATGGAGCTGAAACCCTGCCTTCCTCTCTGAGCACCAACAGAAACAGACTTTTCCCACTGACCTTCTAAGTTGTCTTTGGCAATCGTGGATTGAGGAGTCTGGAAACCTCCACAGCTGCCCGTGATTCAGTCCTCAGAGGCCTGCTGCATGTTTGCTGTGGCCTGCATGGCCTTGCTGCTCTGCGCTCCCAGCCTGGCACGATACACCTTTCTGATCAATCATCCAGGTTGTCTTGGTCTGGAAATTTGTTTCACTCTGTCTTTTTGTGGGTTCTGCTTCTTCAGAATTTGTTTAGAGCTATTTTTTGTGAGTATTTGGAGGGGTTTGGAGGAGAGCTCAAGCAAGTCACTGCTTTCCGCCATCTTGGCTCCCCCCCCCGTTACATATTTTAAGAAAAACAAGTTTATTCATTTATTTTTAGTTTTCAACATTTATTCCCGTAAGATTTTGAGTTCTAAATTTTCTCTCCCTCCCTCCCTTAACCCCACTCCATTACGGCATGCAATCTGATACAGGCTCAACATATGCATTCATATTAAACCTATTTTCCCATTAGTCATGTTGTAAAGAAGAATTAGAACCAATGGGAGAAACCATGAGAAAGAAGAAACAAAAAGAGAGAGCAAATAGTATGCTTTGATCTGCATTCAGACTCAATAGTTCTCTTTCTGGATGTGGACAGCATTTTCCATCTTGGGTCTTTTTGAGTTGTCTTAGATCCTTGCATTGGTAAGAAGAGCTAAGTCACAAGAAAAATGTTATGAAGGACAAGATTCCACAACTGCTTGTCTATGTGATGGAGAAAAGGAGTAAGAAGTCAAAGGTGACACCAGGGTTGGGAACCTGGGAACTTGTTTGATTGGAAGGTTTTTGTATGGTCTTAATAGAAACAGAGAAGTTTGGAAGGGGCAAGTGTTTTGGGTACAAGCTAATGAGTTTTGTTTTTGATAAGTTGAGGTTGAGATGCCCTTGGGACATCTAGTTCAGAAAATCTAATAGGCAATAGGTGATGGAACTGGAGCTCAGGGAAGAGACTAGGATTGGGTATATAGATTTGGGAATCATTTGCATCTAGATAATTTTGCCTAAGGGGCTGGTGAAGTTACCAAATGAGAGAATGTAGAGCAAGGGTTCTAAAACTATTTTTGTGCCATAAATGCCTTTGTCAGTCTGCTGAAATCTATAGATCTCTCCTTGGGTATTTTAAATCAATTGAAGGAAACTTCAGTTAGAAGTTATTGAAAATAAAGTTAAGATTCCCACCTCTTATCCAGGTTAATGGATCCCCCCCTGACATCTGCCCTTAAATCCATCCAAGGACTGTTGGAGGTCTGTGGACCCCAAGTTAAGAATTCCTGGTCTAGAGGCATGATGTTACATTGACCTTGAGGAAAGAAGGTTTGGAATAGCCATTATGAGGAGTGTGAGAAAGACTTAACCAGCAAAGAATAAATTGATTATTCAGCTGCAGTGAGTTGCCCAACTGAGAATTTGACAATGTAAATTTATATTGAACTTGTTCGTCTGTGTTGTATGACTTCTATCATCATTATTCTCTGTTGTGTAACTTTCATTATCATTTTTCAGCTGGAGAATGAAGATGGTGGGTAACTCCAGATTGGTATTTGGCAAGGTCAGATTCAATCCAATAAACATTTGTTAAGCACCTATCATGTGCCAAGCACTGTACTAAGTGCTGGGGGTACAGTTAGTAAAAAGAAAGATAGTTTCTGTCCTCAAGGAGTTTACCATTTAATGGAGGAGACTGCACACAAAAGGAAACAGGAAAGAGGAGAGGGGAACCAGGAGGTACCTCTTGTGAGAGTATCTTGTTCTATGGAGTTGAAACCAGGCAGAGCAGCAGATGCAGAGTGAAGTGAACCAAAAGTCCAGTTTCTGCCCTCTATAAAGAAAGATATTGGGAGGTGTTTGGTAGTCTGCACTCCAGGCCTTCAATTAGAGGGGGAGAGGAGGCTGAGAGAGGTATTGTCAGTCAAGGTTTGAGATAGAAATGTGGCATGAGGCTAGAGGTGATTAGTTTAACCTGGGAGGAGTGGCTTGTACCATGGAATTGAAACCAGACAGGGCAGCAGGTGTAGAATGGAGTCTTAAGTGTTGGTAGGGCAAAGGAGTAAAGGACTAGGGGATAAGGGTAGAGTTGAATTGGTTATAAGGACAACACAGAGAAGAGGGAAAGAGTGAAGGGGAGCAGCCAAGTGGTACAATGGATAGAGCCCTGATCTTGGAGTTAGGAAGACCTGAGTTCAAATCCAACCTCAGACATTTAGCACTTGATAGCTGTGTGACCTTGGGCAAATTGCTTAACCCAGATTGCCTCACCAAAAAGCAAAAAAAAAAATTAAAAAATAAAAAGAATGAAGTTCAGAGATTGGTGAAATGACCAGAGGTTATGGTGAGAACAAATCAATTTAGGAGGAGTGAAGCAGAGAGGGAGGTGGAAGGTTAGGGAATTGATCAGCAAGATGAATTGGTAGTAGGATAGTTATGAGTGACGGTGAGATAAAAGATTATGACTACCCTACCATGTTACTGAGGTGGCAGAGTTGGTTAATTCTGAAACCAAGAAGAGAAAGGAGATTAAGGCAGGTTTTAGGGTTTGATGAATATTTGATCACCTAAACCTTATGACTATAAACAAACACATATTTGGTATTATTTTATTTGCCCATTCTCACCATAGCAGGGGATGATGCAGAGTCCAAAGACACTCTGCATGTAAAATATACACTTTGTTCTAGGTTCATCCTGGTGTCTGAAGTTCTTTTCCTAGAAGTAGTCAAGTCATTGGGCAGCTGGGTGGCACAGTGTATAGAGCATTGGGCTTGGAATCAGGAAGACTCATCTTCATGAGTTCAAACGTACCCTCAGACACTTACTAGCTGTGTGACCCTGGGCAAGTCACTTAACCCACTTTGCCTCAGTCCTCATCTGTGAAATGAACTGAAGAAGGAAAGGGTAAGCCATTCCAGTATTTTTTGCTAAGAAAACTCCAGTTGAGGTCATGAAGAGTTGGACATGATTGAAACGAGTGAACAATGACAAAGTCAAGCCTTTAAGAGGCTCAGCACTTGATATTTGGGTTCTGGAATGGGTGGTACTTTGATTATGGAAGATAGAAATAGGTTTACCTATACAATAGGATTCTGGAGGGAGACTTCCAAATGGAATCATTGAGTGTTCATTAGTATGGAAGATTGTAGTCTTACTGTGGTGACAATGGGCATCTTCCAAGCAAGGCAGTAGTGGTTTTCACCTTCCTGAGTGGTTCTTGGGAATGTAGGACTACAAAATTTTTGCAATGAAGTTAGCAAAGAGTTTAGCCCTGGAAACAAAATATCCCACAGCAATTAATTTCCCATGTATGTGTTTGTGTGAGGGGGTGGGGGTGGTGTTCAAACTCAATTTCTGAGTGAGGGCTAAGTCTGGGACACCAGCTCTGACCAGTTGCTTCCAGCGCCAGCACTTTCTCTGGCTTACCATCTCTAGCCTTGGCCCTAGCCCAGACAAATGTGCTTATATATAGGTAGGACTAAAGAAATGAAGAAAATTATGAAATTAAATGTTGGATGTTTTTTTCACTTTCTTTTTCTTTCTTTTTTTTTGCAACATGACTAATATGGAAATATGTTTTGAAATAAAATACTTCACATGCATAGTTGATATCATGTTGCTTTCTCAATGGATTGGGGAGAGACTGGAGAGGGGAAGGGACTGGGAGAGAGGGAAAGAATTTGGAATTCAAAATTTTAAAAAAGAAATGTTTAAATAAAGTATAATTATTTTAAGAATGCTGGAATGTTTAGAAATATTCAAGTTGTTAATATGTAGAGAAGTTTAATGTTTGTCATAGTCTTGTCTAATGGCATCTTTCTCTTATACTTTTGTAGAAGAGATTGAAGAAGAATCTGAAACTTCAGTAGATGCTGATTTGACAGATAAACAGAAACATCAGTTGAAACATAGAGAACTATTTTTGTCACGTCAGTATGAATCTCTTCCTGCAACACATATCAGGTAAGACTTTTGTGGAAATTATTTGGAGCTAGTAATAATGTCACAAAATGTCTGCTGTGTTGTCTGAGAAAGTCATAAGAGTCCTAGAACCCTTTAGCAGGGAGGCTCTTTGAAAAGTCCTTTGGTCCATGCCCCTGTTGTCATATAGTTGAATGCCTAAACTATTCGTGGCAGATGGTTATTCTCTTTTGAGTATCTCAAGAATAACCTTCATCCTTTAAATCCTTATTTTGAACTTAATAAATACCAAATAAAATGGGCATTTCTGTATACTGAAAACAGAACAAGAAGATTGTACATAAACCTGCAGATTTCTATTATGTACGTCTTAGTTTTCTTTTAAAATATGAAATAAATTGAAATTGTATTTTTCAAAGCACTACTGATTATTTGTAATTTTCATTTTTTGTTCTCTTCTGTATAGTTATTTAAAACTTTTTTAGGGCCAGATAGGTGGCGCAGTGGATAGAGCACCGACCCTGGATTCAGGAGGACCTGAGTTCAAATCTGGCCTCAGACACATTACACTTACTAGCTGTGTGACTCTGGGCAAGTCACTTAACCCCATTGCCTAGCCTAAAAAAAAAAAAGTAATCTAATCATTGTTCTTCTTTATGGCTTTGGTTTAAAATTTTTTTAAAATTAAATTTTTTTCTACTAACAAAAATCTACCTTCTGTCCTTCCCATTTCCTCTTCCTCCCATTAAAAAAGAAAGAAAAACAAAATCATTGGAATATGCATAGTCAAGCTAAATTCCTTCACTACCCATGTTTTTGTTGTTGTTCAGTCATTTTCAGTCATGTCTGACTCATCATGACCCCATTTGGAATTTTCTTTTCTTTCTTTCTTTTTTTTTTTTAAGTGAGGCAATCAGGGTTAAGTGACTTGCCCAAGGTCACACAGCTAGTACCTGTCAAGTGTTTGTTCGAGGTCGGATTTGAACTCAGGTCCTCCTGACTTCAGGGCCGGTGCTCTATCCACTGCGCCACCTAGCTGCCCCTCCCATTTGGAATTTTCTAGGCAAAGATACTGGAGTGGTTTGCCATTTCCTTCTCCCACCCATTTTCCAGATAAGGAAACTGAGGCAAACAGGCTTACATGATTTGCCCAGGGTCCCACAGCTAGTAAGAGTTTGAGGGCAGATTTGAACTCAGGTCTTCCTGACCCCAGGCCAGGCCCTCCATCTACGTTATTTAGACTCCCAAGTATTTTATATAATATATGGTTATTTTGAATTGAATTCTTTTTTTTTTCATGTTGAATTTTCTTTTGTGTGTGATGGTTTGGCATTTCCTTCTCTCGTTCATTTTTACAGATGAGGAAACTGAGGCAAACAGGATTAGGTGACTTATCCAGGGTCTCACAGCTAATAATTGTCTGAGGCCATATTTGAACTCAGGTCTTTCAGATTCCAGGCCAGGCACTTTATCTAGTGGTCACTTAGCTGCCTCATTTCTCATGTTATCTGCCTCTCAGAAATATATCTTTATCTTTACCCTGGGCCTCTGTCACTTCTTTGTTAGGAGATGAGTAGCATGTTTCATCTTTGGGAGCTTATTAATGTCTTCTTCAACATTTTTTCCCCTGAGATTAGATTAAGGTCCCTTGTTCTTGTGCTTTTACCCTGAGTATTCTATTTTTTTTAAAAATATTTGTCTGTTTCATTTGGAATGTCAGTTTTATTAGCATATGATTGAGCAAAATAATTTCTAACTTCATTTGCTATAAGTTTACTTTTTAGATATATGATAGTGGTAATTTGTTTTTTATCCCTTTTAAAAATAAAATTAGCAGATGGTTTATTTTTTTAAACCAACTCCTAGTTTTAGTTATCAATTTAGTTTTTTTAAAAAACTTTTGGTTCTTTAATGTCTTTAGATTTCAGGATTTCTAATTTGGTGTTTAGGGTATTTTAACTTGTTGGTTTTTCTAGGCTTTTTTAGTTGTATACCCAATTCGTTGATCTGTTGTTATACCATTTTTCTAAAATGAAAGTATTTAAAGATATGCATTTTCTCCTAAGAACTCATTTGGCTGAATCCCCCAAATTTTGAATGTTTCTCATTACTGTAGAGGCAGCTAGGTGGTACAGTGGATAAGAATGCTGAAACTGGAATCAGGTAGACCTGAGTTCAAATTTGGCCTCGGATACTTATTATTTGTGACCCTGGACAAATCACTGAACCTCTGTTTGCCTCAGTTTTCTCAACTATAGAATGGGGATAATAGTACCTACCGTAAAGGATTTTTGTGAGGATCCGATGAGATAATATTTTTAAAGTGCTTAGCACAATTCCTGGCACATAGTAGGTGCTATGTAAATGCCCCTTCTTTCTTCTTTTCTTCCCTCCCTCCCTCCTTTCCTCCCTGTTCTCATCCCTTCTTCTGTCCGTCTTCCTCTCCTTTACTCTCCTCCCCCTCCCCTCCCTCTGTATCTGTTTCTGTAAAGGGTATTTTGTAGTTAAATTTATATAATTTCTATGTGTGATCTGCTATTTGGACTCCCAAATATTTTCATAGTATGTGTTTATTTTGAATAGAATTCATTTTTTATGTTGAATTTTTTTGTGTAATATATAGATTTATATTCTGAACTTTGCTGATATTGTTATTTTAATTATAGTTGATTCTCTAAGGTTTTCTCAATAAACCATCATATTATCTATAAAAAGTGATTATTTTATTTCCTCTGTGACTATCCCTATTCCTGCCATTTCTTCTTCTTTTCATATTGCTATAGCTAGCATTTCTGGTGCTATGTTAAATAATGCTGGGGTAATGAACACCCTTATTTTAATTACCCACTTCTAATTTTATAAAAAAGGTTCCTAGTTTGTCTCCATCATGTATGATGCTGGCTGTTATAGTCATGTTATATAACATTAAACGAAAGTCCATTTATTTCTATGCTTTTTAGTGCTTTTTGTGTATATGGACATTGGATTTTGTCAAAAGACTTTCTGAATCTATTGATGAAATGATGTGACTTTTTTTTGGTTATCAGTGTGGTCAGTATTATTTATAGGTTTCCTAATATTGAATCAACCCTGCTTTCCTGGATCAAATCCTTCTTAGTCATAGTGTGTAACCCTTCTGATATACCATTTGTGCTAATATTTTATTGAAAATTTTTTGTCATTCATTAGGACTATTCATTTGGTCTATAGTGTTCTTTCTGTTTTGTCTCTTCTTAGGACGTGTTTCAATATATCTTCTTTTCCTGTTTTACAGACATTTTACATAATATTGGAATTGGAGAAATAGACATTAAAACTGTAATGGCAACCCTGTATGCATACTATGGCGTCATGGATAGGTCTCTGATCTTGGAGTCAAAAAGGCCTGGATTCAAATGATGTCTCTGGCACTTAATACCTGTGTGACTCTGTAAAATTCACCTAACAGCCCTGTTCTTCTGTTTTCTCATCTGTAAGATGAAGAGGTTGGATTAGATGGCCCATAAGGTGTATTCCAGTCCTAGAATATGACCTATGAGGTCTAATCCCATGAAGACAATTTTTATTTCACTGGGGTTAATGACTGTGTTTAAGATTTCTTTGTTTCTGCATTTGTGAGGTTTTTTAATGTCCTAATATAATCTTAATTTTTGTACAGGTCATTCAGTGGTGGTAAATATGTACTGTCTTTCTGTTCTCCTTCATTGATAGCCAGGAGTCTATCATATTTAACTTTTCTAAAATTCTATTCAGTTCCTTAACTCCTTTCTTGTTTACGTATTTTGTTGGTTTTTTCTAGGTTCAAAAGGGGAATTTTGATGTACCCGGTTATTATAGTATTAATGTCTGTTTCTCCCTATAACTTATTTAACTTGTCTTTTAATAATTTAGATACCATGCCATTTGGTATATAATATTAAGTATTATTATCCTCTGATTCCTTTAAACATGATACAATTTTCCTACTTATCTCTTTTAATCAAGTCCATTTTTGGTCTTGTTTTGAGATAAATGATTGCCACCTCTGCTGTTTTTGAGCAGGTAAAGCATAATAGATGTTCTACTTTATTATTTTAGCTGTGAATCTTTATGTTTCAGTGGTTTTTCTTGTAAACAACGTTATTGGATTCTGCTTTTGAATCCAACTAGCTGTCCTCTTTGGTTTTGTGAGTTGAGTTCATTCCATTCACATTTGCAGTAAATTTTAACTGTGAATTTCTCTCCATCCTAGTCTCTTATGTTTTTCCCCCATTTCCCTGTCAAGCTAAATATATTTCTAAACCAAACTAACTCTTCTCTGTTCTTTCCTTCCTCCTTGTTTGTATGGTCTTTAATTTTCTTATTTTAAAATGACCAGAGCATAACATAAGCACTACCAAGACCTTTGTTGTTACTGTTTCTGATTTTTGGTGGCATAGGGCCTCTGAGGAGATACTTGTTTCTTTTTTTCTCCTCAAAAGTCCTGTAACTCCCCTTCCCTACTGTTTCAGCTGAGTACCTTACCTCATATTTGCCTGAAAAAATTGAGGCAATTCGTTGAGAGCTCCCTCTTCTCCCCTCTTCTTCATCTCACATCACTTAGATGTCTTCTGCCACTATTTCCTCCTTTGTCCCCAAAGAGAGGTGACTCCTCTCTTTGGCAAGGCAAACCCTTGAGGTGAGGGGAAAGCATTTATTAAGTGCCTACTTATGTACCATGCACCCAGCTAAGTTAAATAGAACTCCTAATAGCACCTACCTCACAGGGTTGCTGGGAGAATCAAATAAGATACTTATCAGGCACTTAGCTGACTTTGCTCAACTGAGGCAGGCAGTGATTGAGTGACTTCCCCAGGATTACATAGCTAGTAAATGTCTGAGATTGGATTTGAATTCCAATCTTATTGACTCTAGCCCCAGTATTCTAGCCACTGTATCACGTAGTTGCCTCTGCATACCTGTGGTAATATTCCATTTTGTCTTTTCTAGCAATCCCCCCCTCCCATCATCACTGCTTTCTCACTAATCTTCAATCTCTCCCTATCTATTGGCTGCTTCTCTAC